AGAACCATAAAAAGGACTAGAAATATCTTCCCTGATAAAAGGTATCCTGAGAGAAGGGCTGGGCAATATTTTTCATATTTTTGTGATGATTTACTTTGGGGTTGGGGGTGAAAATTTCATTGATTGTAGGAATCTCCTTTTTCTCCACTTGAGTATGTTTAAAAACAAATGAACACGATTAAATGAGTTAGAATTTAATATACTTTGAAGATAAATCACCTCTGGATGTTTTGAGAAGAAAAATTCTCCATTTGAATCTTCTTAAATTTCTTTCTATTTTTTACCATCTTTTCCTGAGGCTGTCATATTAGACAGAAGGATAATGAAGCATTTTAAATAGGCAGGATCCATGCTTGTCTCCTTAGAAGGGAGCTTCTTTTTCTGGCTGATATTTTTTTTTAAATCTTGCTTTCTGAAAAAGGTAGTGTTCACCAGGAGGAAGGAGTTAAAGGATACCCAAACAACTCAAGAGCTATCTGTCGTCAGGGCTAATCTTGAGGTAGAAGCAGTAAGAGGCTTCAGAAAGAGGGAAGTGGTGGCGGCATTTATTTTGCTTCTCTGTAATTGTCAATTGAGAATGCCTGGGCCTCAGCCATTAATAAATATGAGTGGTTTATTGGGTGGTATAATCAAAACTTATGCAAGAGAAGACGGAGATATTTCAGAAAGATCAGCTTGTGCATCTCAGATGGGAGCTCCCAGACTCGGTGGCTTCACGACAGGACAGGGTGGCAGTCTGCGGTTAGCCTTTGATGCATAGCTAAATAGTCCTGAAAATAATTTCACAAATGGTAGATGAAGAAGACAAGGCTCTTACTGATAACTCTTGTAGTATTTCCATGCCTATGATACTTGCCCACATAGGAAAGGTCTAGTTAAGAGTTAAGAGAATCTGTTCTCAAAATAGAAAGTGGCCATAGAATGGTAAATGGATTTAATACTTATGCTACATTTCTACTCAATCATAAGCAAGGTTTTACATGTATTCTCCATGCTATACAAGGCTGGCTGTTATTTTTTCTCATTGTTGCCTCGTCTTCTCGAGGTATGAAATAGCTTCTTGTTATGTAACTTGGGTGCCCTAAGTCTGTCACATTTGTTTGCTGCTATACATTCTGATTTTGAAAAAGAAATTGGTAACTTACTTAGCTTCAGTTATGTTACTGTCTTTGACCAATTTACAGACTTATACATGATACCATGGATTCATGAGTCAGCCTTTACTGTAAGAGTATAATGACTCAGTTTGGGCCTGGGAGCCAGAGAGCTAAATATAGTACCTAGCATTAGAGCCTGGTACAGCTGGGGAAAAAAAAATCCATTTTGGGACTTATGAAAGGTCAGTTTGGAACAGAGGTGCCTGGAGCGCAGAAACACTTGCCCTGACCACTAACTTTACTCGGTTCTCATTTGCGAAGTAGCACTGTGGAGCTGGTGGGGACAGAGAAAAGCACAGGAAGGTAAGACGGGGAGAGGAAGAGATGGAAGAAATGGATAGTGAAAAGGAACTGATTCTCAAGTCTCTTAGCTGGTTATTCCAGGCACTGGTGCAGGATGTGGGCTAGAAAATATCCAGTCCTGTGGGAAAGTGGTGTTACAGCAGTACAAATGTCTGGGGTACCAGCCCTGAGCTACGCACCGGCTTTCCCTGGCTCCAGTCTTAGTAGGAGAGCCGAGACCCCCCACTGTCCCCATCTTTGTCTCTGTGGAGATACTACCCACCAGCAGCTTTTAGTTTTGGAGTGCCCTCTGTAGTACTGATGTAGGGCAGTCTCCTCCACATGATAAATATCTTTTCTTTGTAAGAAGCACTGGGGCTGGGAAGAGCCTGTTTCACAGTGTTCAGGAGCATAGCCCACTGGAACCAACTGCTTGGTGGTACCCTGCCTTCCTGAAAAATGCTCCAATGAAGCTGTTGGAGGAGTTCAGCATGCTGGAGGGGAGCATCCTGAAGTGGTGCTGTTCTATATAAAAAAAAAGTCACAGCATATCAAACTGCCCCAGTTGCAAGACAGGGTCCCATGCTGAGACAATAAAATAGCGTATGGCTCTAGCCGTACGTATTTCATTCTTATGATCAGTTTGTGACCCCTTCACTATTTTTCATAGACATTTTTAAGTAAATTGTGGATGTGTCTCAGCCCCATTAACTCAACTGAAACTATTGAATAAAATGCTTCTAAAAATATTTTTCAAAATTAGAGCACTCTTTCAAACAGCAGAGTTAAAATATGAAATAAATAGCTATTGTTTTCCTCCTATTGGCTATGTTTTCCAGCCTAGAACAGGCAGCTGGCAAGAGTAAAGCTTTCATGTGTGAAAGGGCAAGTTCCCCCCACTCCATCTCTGTCAGTGACTGCCACTGGCTGCTAGTTGTGTAGCAGCAGCAGAGCCAGGACAAGGTATTACAGTGTCTGCTTCAACTAAGTCCTGCTGAAGACTGTTAGGGAGTAATATAGTCCAGCTGCTGTGGGACAGGAAAGCCATTTCACCTCATCCTTTTAGGGTGGATGAAGGAATGGGGGCAGGTATGGCAACCCACACTTCTATTTTGTCTTGGTACTAGGGTGCCTCTGGTAGAAAAGACACTTACTTTGTTGGCCCCAACTCTGAAACAGCAGCAAGACTTTTTGCAAGGCCCCATGACAGGGCTCAGAGAGGAAACAGCTGACAAAAAAGTCCTTTGGATTACATGCGGAAGTGCTGACATGCTTCCAAAGAGAAGATGCTACACACATGAGCAATCTAGGCTATTGATAACACCACCGATTAACAATTGGGTCTATATTCTGAATAACGACAACAGCTCCCTTTCAGAGCTTTATTAAAACTTCCTTTCTAGGTAAGTAACTGTTTTTTCTGATCAATGTTTCTGGAATATGAGCAGATGTACAATGAAAGACATAGTTTACTTCCACTTGGCTGATGCCGTGGCATACTCTTACTAGGAAACCATCATCTTGTTGAGTGTGTACAAACCCGGCATACTCTGTGCAAATTCTTTATTGAAACAATGATCAATTTACAAGCTGGATCACATTTCATTTTGCCACTTCAGCATGAACTGGTTTCTGTGGTTTACGGCCGTGAACTATAAAATCGTAACAGTTATTTAAATCAAAATACAGTAACTGCTTCTCAAAAGAACACATTCATATTTGTCTTACATTTCTTGTAAAATCAAAAAGGATTTCATAATAAATGAAATATAACTTAAGATACTTTAGTGCAAGCATTTCCTTTGCATCTAAGAAGCTTTCAGTTGTCCCACTAAGTATGGCATACTTAGGAGGCCAACTCCTAAAATAGCATGCTGCCAAGATATTCCATGAGAACTTTTAAAATTCGACACTGTTAACACTTTCCAGAATTAGTTGATCTGAACCAAATCGAACATCAGAAAGCCCTGGCTATATGTTACAGTACTTTTGTCAAAAGGTAACTGCAAATTGAGGAACTGACATAGTATGTACATTAGAATAAAACAGGCACTGACCTAAAAAAAATCAACGTCTGCCCGTATATGCCATTCTGCAAGTCTTACGATTATACAGTAATTTTTAAGCACAGGAGCGAACTGCTGTGCCCCACCTAATACTAATAAACCTGCATAAAAATGCTGATCTATGGGTTCTTTTAAATTTTTCAAATGACAATCTCAAAAAATGACTGAAGGGTAGGTTTCACCACAAGCATACTCAAATCAGAGAACAAAAAAGGATCAACAGTAAACAAATGCTGCTCAAAAAGAAAATGTTAAGTAGATAGCGAGTACTATGTTCAAGTGGTCTGATTAATATGATCTTACATTTAGTGCAAAAAGAATAGTAAATGTAAAATTCAAATCCAGCACCGATTTCTTATGCTGCAGATATTTAGTCACGTTTCATGAAGTTTTGGCAAAAATATTTTTAAAAAGTGTAAATATATCCTGCAAATCTCTTCTCCTTTCTAAGCCTGGCTTGGTGTTCCTTAAGCTTTTAGAACGCAAATTCAGTTGTACTGGATTTTCCAGATTCTGAGCGTTTTAAGAACCATCAGCATTTGGTGATATAATAAACAGAACAACGTAACAAAAGGTGTGCATAGTCCAATGATGGGAACGGATCACTCTAATGTCCCTGAAATGCTTAAGGTGCATGAAAATATATAACAACGCAAATGTTAATGTTTCCTTAGAGCCATCATTAATTTTATGTTTGTTAATTGTGTTCTCGCACCATAAAATAGCCATTCCCTAATAAATACTGCAAGACAGAATTGTTTCCTTTATAATAGCACAGCCAGAAAGTTTGGAACAGGAAAGATGGGTTTGGATCTTGCTTCCCATCTATCTCCCACAAAGGAAGTGCCTGAAAGCATGTAAAAAGCTTTATGCTTACAGGTGTTATATAACGGATGCATAAAGATACTGAGCAGCATGCATGAAATCAGAAAAAATACACACAACCAGAACCATTACAATCTGTATTTTCTTCAGATACAGCGCTGTTCTGTTTTTACTCCGATAATACCACAAAGCTAAATGTCCGAAGTATTTATAGCAGACTGGCTGGACCAGTCCTATCTGTGAACTCTCAGCTCCGAGTGAATCCAGCTCCAGCAAAGTCAAGGTTCTCTTTGACCTTGCGACATCAGGAATTCAGCATTGCAGCTATTACGTGCATCTAATCCAAACAACTGTTGCTCATATGTGGTTTGCAATGTACGTTTGTGTGTACTTCAAATACATGCTCTTTGTGGGCAACCTCTGGAAAAAAACACAATCTATATCTTCAAGGAAGTTTACACAGAGATACTGAAGAAAACCATGGGGATTGTTTGCTCTCAAATGTTTCTCAATAAATAAATAATATACAGGCTGGAGGACAGCCTGAGGGCAGCAGTCGGGATCAGAACTGCCTGGTACCAATCACCATATGAATACATGAAGGGGTCTGGTCTCTACTGTAAAAAGTTCATAAAGAAAAAACAATTAAAATTAAAATACTGTATTTTAATAAGTAATTTTGAAACTTTTTAAAAAATTTTAAAGTGTAATTTAAAAGTTATTTTTATGCTTTCAAGGAGAACATCCTTGCTCATCTGTGCAATCTTAGTTGGGCATTAGGCAGGTAACTTTAGAATACATGAGCATTGTTTGTAAATGCTGGACAGGCAGAAAAATCAAGATGCCTCTTTTCAGGGGTTAAGGTGAATTAAAAGAATTTAGTGCAAGTTCCTGCTTTTGTTTCTGCCCTCGTCCTTTTTCACACCAGAAGCAAATTAAGTGACTTGAAAAACTGATGTGAACACTAAACAGAAATGTACTTTGGACTCAGACAAGAAGTTAACAGTTTGCATCAGTAGTATTTTCAATCACACTGGTCAGAAGTGAGGTTCTTTATGGCATTCTCTTAATCTACCCTGTGTTCTAGATTTATATTGCTTCACTGGAAGTAAAATATTGCCAGCCACATTCCTAAAGGGACTTTGCCCTGGCATGTTTCCTTTTGGGCATGTGCAAATGCATTTTGTATAGATGCCTACCACTGTGGTGAGCACAAACGTTAGGCAACTAAATGCTGTCATTTTCACAAGTTGGTCACAAAATCTGAAGTCCATTATTAAACATGTATTTTTTTTAATAACCATAGGAAGGTAAATGTGGAGCCTTCTCTGCATCACCAACGTTAGTCACAGGGTGTTCCTGTGTTACACTGCTAGTGAAGCTCTGCACTTAACATGAGGAAGTTAACATAAAACCTCAGCTCATTATCAAAAGTTTTTTTAGATAGCTGCAACATTGACTTTGTTTGATCTCAATTACTCGTGCAGTTAATATACCTGATTGATTGCCTCCAACAGACACCTTATGTAGATGTGGCTACTTCAATAAAATGTCCAGAGAGCCATCCATGCATCATCTCCTCATAGACCTAAGTGACTTCTTTTTCTGCAGTATACGTGACTCTAGATTTGAGTATCTATACTTACACTACAGTCCTTCTTAAAAACTGTAAGGTGATATTTTGTTCATGAGTTTCAAATTAAATGTGTGTCAAGTAATTAAGTAATATGCTATTACTCCTACACAAACTCCTCCTTGTAAGCGCTTTCTTTCCAGACTCACTCCAGAGAAGGTCCTTTTTATTGTCTGTCTGCAATAGAAATTATCACTTCCCTTCCACTCCTGGCATTTCCTGGCATAAATGTTGATCCTTTTTAATGCCACAATCGCAGTGATCATTAAAGCTTTAGTGGGATAGAGTCACATGTACTCAAGCTGTGAACATCCTACATAGGTAGGAGGTTCTTAGAATACCAAAGCAATTATAGCACAGTAAACTGTGTGCTTGTCATTGTAATTTCACAGGACACTTGATTATATATATATTTTTTTTAGTTTGGATAAAACACTCTCCGACTTATGCTTATAGATGAATTTAGGCTTGATCTTCAGAATATGAATCTGCATAAAATTGAGAATCCCAATAAAAGGGTCTTCTGCCATTTCAGCCTTGTCATCAGCTAATTACTGGCATTTGCAGGACTGTTAAGGAACCTGCATATCTTCTGGTAAGGTAGTGCGTACTTACTCCTACCAAATTACTACAAAACAAGACATCTTGCATATTTGCAGCTGTTTTCCATATAAACCTCTGGCAAAGTAAAGAACAGTCAAATATATGCAAAAAACCCCTGCAGAGCTGTTGCGACTGCAACTTTCTGTAAGATGTTTACGGGCTTTCCCATCTGTAAAACACACCTCAAAGTTGTTTCTCAATGTGAAAAAAACAATTGTTGGCATCTTCATTCCATGGAAACGGGAAAACTATTTCCCTTGTGCCTAAGCAGTGTGGTCTCAAATGAAATGGAAACATTTTAACTTTCTTTAATAGCCCTCTAAATCACAATGCAGCTGAGCAAGCAGGCTTTGTAAATGGGATCTATTAGGATTTTATTTGGCTACTGGAGTGCTGCCTTTTGGGCAATATTTCAAATTCACAAGATAATATTTGCAAAAATGCAATAGATTGAAATAACGAGAGGGAAGGAGGAAAATGAAAACCAATTTTGTGTTTAGTATGTTCAAGTGTCCTACATCAAAGACTACCAATGACTTCCAGGAGGCCACTACAGGTGACTCCAACCTAGAAAATGCTGAGGTAAATGTTTCTTGGAAATACTCCTAATCAAAAAGAGCAATTAATATTAATGTAATAGCAATTACTCTGCCATACATCATGGTTAACTAAAGTCAAACTGAGAAGAAAGTGCCAAATAATCCACATACATGCTTTTGCTATGATAGTCTCCAGGTAAGGCTTAGCGGCAAGTACAATATGTATTTTTAAAAGAGCTCCACCTGATTTTCCTGCTATGCATAGATTCAGGAGTAACTATCATACATGGCTTTCATATATAACGCATGTATTTTTGTCATTCGCCAATGCTGTGTCATCAGAACTGAGTTCGGCAGAAGGCTCAGGAGGGGGCTCTGCAGGAAGTGCTGGTGTTTGAGGAGTGTCTTCTTCCTTGGTGTCCAACTGCACGCTTTCTTGCGACTGACCGTCCATGCAGTCCTTTTTGGACAACGGGTGAACTGACACTTTTATTGCAATCTGTTGAGGTGGTTCATGCAGTGACGATGCATCAGAGTCCGCTGTGGGAGAGTCACTGCGCTGCAAAGCATTTGGGATCATATACAGCTCATCTGTTTCAGTGGTTTCCTGGCCTTCTGCTGTCTGCCGTACAAAATTCTGTCCTTGCTCCTCCAGACCGACAACCTCCATAATTTCTTCCATTATAGTCCTGCAGTTCATGATGAGAGGTGGCAAAGGTACGCTCCGAGCGAGCTCTTCAATATAGCGAGCAAATTCCATGGTCTTGAACTGGGTTACTTTGGCAAGCTCAAGTGTTTTGGCTGAAGTGATAATGGGGATACGCTTCGCAATCTCAAAGGCTTTCTGGAGTTTCTCTGCCCCTTCTGTTCTGAAGAATTCATTGATTGCTTTCTCTGTTTTCTTCAGATGACTGCTCATCATACATAACCGAGTAATGTTCAGTATCATAACAATGGTAAAAGCTACAAGGCAGACAATCATGTAATAGATTCCCATATCTCCGGAGGTAAAAACAACCCTCAGCGTCACAGTATTGTTAACATTGCCATACATATTAAATGCGACACACGTGTATTTACCTCTGTCTTCAAAAGACACGCTGGTAATGTTTAGTAGTCCGTTGTCAAGAAACCACCATTTTCCTGCTGGAGAGGAGACAGAGTAACTTAGTTAGAAGTATTTTTTTCACATGATCAGTACAGTCTTAAACATCAGCTTTGTCAAACTGGCTTCAGATTTTGGAAGAAGGAAATAACGTTCACAAGAAGACAAAGTATTTACTATCACAAAGGTCTATCTGTCCCGGAGACCCTAGCTGTGTTACTATCAAGTCCCTGACATCAACTGTGAATAACTGGATCATGCCCTCAAAGTCTCATAAAAAAATTAGTTAATATGCATGACATCTATCACAATCTTACGGTCAGTTAAGTTACAAAGATATGACTACTTACCTCAGAGAGCCTTGCAAACACATGCCACGCTTCCTCAAAGAACAGCAACAATGGGATTGTGAGGCAGAAAAACCTACTAAGCCCTCCTTGTTTTGTTCCCTGACAGTGCATTTTCTTACAATTGGGTTAGTTTTGGTGTTTTGTTACAGTATCTCATATAATTCTGTTAATGTAAACTTTAAAAAAAGTAAGATTTCAGACATCATATACTACACTGCCTGCCCTCTGAAGTATTCAGAATTTAATTATGAATAATGATTTTAAAAAAGGGAAATAGGACAGGAGGAGTAAGATGGATGGGAAAGAGAAGAGCCATGACCAACCAAGAGAACGTCTTGTTTGCCAGTGCGAACTTCTACACGCCATGGTGGACCTTCTTTTACTTTTACATTTCTATCAGTGTAATATAACTGATATCTTTGGTCACTACATGTAATTGTACCTGTACATTTCATATCCTTTGAACCTGGCACGGCAGAACAATTTAGCTATTAAACTGAGTTTGAAACAACCCAGTGCTCATATCACTGCTAAAGTGATTCAAGATTCAGCTAGTTATTGTGTTTGCCATTATATATTGATAACAAATTAGATTTTTAGTTCCCCAAGTGAGCTTCATTTTTATTCAAATATCAATACCATTTGAGAGCTGAGGATGTGTATTTTTTGCCTTATTCGGTGTGATACGACTTATTAAATTGCAACTTTGCTATAAAACACATGATTCAACTCCAATGGGAAAGCCTGCTGTCAATTCTTTTCCTTCATGTAAACCCACCCCTGGAAGTGTTCACATGGTGGAGAGCACAGCCAGAAAGTGTAGGAGTGCCTCTGTGCCTTCTGAACACTTCATAGAGGGAGATGTCATACAGAAGATTTCCTTGTAACACAATGACATAGGCTGATGTAAGCCAACAAGATCATGTAATACATACTGCTGCTCAGAGGCAGACTCAACTGTTTTCAATCTCTGTAACACAATCCCAAGCCATTCCTGACAGGTATCTGTTGAAGGCAGTAATGGAATTTCAATAACCTTCCACAGCAAGGAATTTCAGGTGTTTACCTATTTTTACTATCAGAAAGTTGTTTTTCCTTAAACCTAACCTAACCAGCTGCAATTTAAGTCTATTAAGGCAGCTGAGCAAAGACACAGAATCGGTGATCAGAGGACTAAACCAGCACAAAATCCCTGTGCAACGCATGTAAATCACAAGGCAAGGATTGCAGTCCTGCCACAGATTGGTGTATACCTTGCTTCTACATTTATTTTATCCTTTTCATGGAAATTCTTTTGTTGTTAAAAAGATTATTCTATTTTTTTACTTTATTTCTTTCAAGGAAGAATCTGTGGGCAATTCTGAAATTCATTAGTCAAAAAAAGCCTTTAATTCAGAGTTGTTACGGGCTTTTACCATTTTGAAAGTTTTTCTAATTAAACAACACTTATCCAAATTGTTTTTTTACATTATCTCCAGTAGAAGCCTATGTAGAAAGTATTCCCACCAGATCCCTGCCTCGGTTCCTTTATGGACAGTTCTTAATTACACATTAAACATGGCTTATCCAAATTGTTTTTTTACATTATCTCCAGTAGAAGCCTATGTAGAAAGTATTCCCACAAGATCCCTGCCTCGGTTCCTTTATGGACAGTTCTTAATTACACCTTTTTATCCTCTTACTTAGAATTTTTAACTTATCTGAAACGCTGTTTTTTGCCCTAGCTTAATTCTTGAAAGCAGCTGAATCACTTAGCCTGAAATTAAATAATATAGAATAAATAAAAAGCTCAGTCTAAAGCAGACCTTCACATAAAAAAATCACCCCAATCTGCTAAAGTTAGGCAAATTCAGAGGAAAACTCCCTTACAGAGGAAATGTCAGCATCTGTAACAGATGGCACTTCTTTCTCCACCTCTAGAGTAAGAAAAAATACAGAGTACTGGCTGCTCAGTATTTCTTTGAATTGCAATGTTGGCAAAGTAGGTCTTTATTAATTGTAAAATGACAAGATGCCTTGCTGATATATCCTGGCTCCAGCTGTTATAAATGACATAATGGCATTGAACTGTGACTCAATGACTGGGTCTGTGCCAATGGATCTTGGCAGACAGTATGAGCCTAATGAGAAAACAATGATTAGAAAAGGTATCATTGCTGGGTTTTGATAACAGCTCAATGCCATACTCAACATAACTCTATACATAGTAAAGAAAGGTCTTGTGCTAGGAAACATTTCTTACAGGAAGACAGTCAGTTTCTTAAAGGAGGAAGTGCACCGTTGAAAGTCTAAGTTAAAATGATGTTGTCTTAATACTACATCTGCAATTTTTACTGACTTGGCCAAAGTTTTTGCTCACCTACCTGAATGTTTGTGTTAGTAGCTACCTCTCTCAGTTGACTATACAAGGGCCTAAAGTTAGATGCCTAACTAAAGGGGAAAATTTCTGTTAGTGAGCCTTAGTAAAACACTCGAGCACACTAATCACAGTACGTTGCCGTAACCGCACAAATTGTATCTGAAAGTCCGCTTACTAGCTCAAGTAGTTCCTTTCTCTAGCTTTACTCAGGAAAGTGATAAAATACTGTAATGTAAAATATAACCAGTTATGCAGTAAGCTTTTACAGATACACTATGCTGTTGCACATCCAGCTGGGTCAATCATTACTCCTGTCATAGCAGAGTTCTCCCTCAGGTCAGCTATTAGTTAGGCAAGCTATCTTGCATTTAGTATGAATAACCAAGAGTTTATTTCATCATGCTGTGAACAAAGCAGTCAGTATGGAAGGATTACGTGAGCAAAACACCTTCCATCCCCCCCCCAAATGTGCCCTGGAAGTATAACTAGGATTATCACCCAAACCTTCCATTTAAGGAAAACAAGCTAATGAGTAATTAAGGTCTCTGGCAAATGCAACTGAAGAGTCTTAACTAAAGCCAGGAAGGCTCAAACTTGGCTTGTCCTTCTGACTGCTGCCCTATATAGGTTTTTCTGTTGGTCATTCAGGGCATCTCCTGTTCCTCACACTCCCACGGCACTATGCATAAAGAAGGGAGGCGTATCAGGGAGTTAGCTGTGTTGAATTCATGCCAACAAACTATTCCCATATGTCAAGAGAATCCTCCCTTGAGTTGGAAAATAGCTTTTTGGTGCCAGAGAAGGACAAAAGAGGACAGAATGGGAAATAGGATCAAACCCGAAGTCTTCCAATGAAACCTTCTGTCTACACCTTCTGTGAAGCGCTTCAGCTTCTTGCTATGTGTTGCTATAAATAACACATTATAAAAACGTTATTGTTTTCTTCCAAGGCGCGCTCAACAAATTTATGGCTGCCACCGGGCTTTCATATATTTTCACACAGGAAAACACCACAGTCAGGCCATTAAGTTCAGGTTATTGGTCAACCTGCTGAAATCAGAAGTGTCTCTGGACAGGCTGTATCAGTGAGAATACTAAGATCTTACCTTTGTTCTCTTCCTCTTGGAGCAGGCGGCCGTTGGAATTGTACCATCTGTAATGTGGACTAGGACTACCTTGGACATTGCAGTCGATCAAGGCACTACTCCCCTCCTTGACTATAATATGGTCGATGCGGGAGATCACCACAGGCGCAGATCCCGTGTTCATGTCAGTGCGGTTGAAAGTGCTATTAGTCACATGCTCAGCAGTTGTCAAAGCTACTAATAAGATGACAAGGTGTGTGGTAGGCAGAAAGTACAAAAAGTGGTGGCTGTGCAGTATGTTCATTTTCCTTCAGTGGTATACGCAACTGGCTGGGAACTGGGATCGGTTCTCTTGAATGCAGGCCCTTGAGGTGAGGAGGTCACAGGAGAGTTCTACTTTGATCTGTGCAATTTTATGTTTAAAATATCCTATAAAATAAATAAATAAGTACAATGAGATGGCATGTATAAACAATCCATCAGATGTGCTCTTTTAAAATAGTGACACATCCATTAATGCATTTCACAATCATCAGCTCAGTGTCTTGTCTAAATGCTAATGTTATCACAGTCCTTATTCTTACTGGAAAAAGATGCATACATTTTCCTGACAATAGTGTTGTTCAGAGTGGCAGGCGTGGGAGAAGGCTTTTATCACCTAGACACTTAGCAGCAATTTAGCTACAGCAGCAGCTACAGTTTTATGCCAAAAGTTCTACAGGATTTTTCTTTTTTTTTCTTAACATTTGCAAAATCAACAGGAAAAACAAAGGTACAGCACGTTAAAGCTGTCACTACCAGTTCAGTGCTGCAACTCTGTCACGTGCATGGTCTTAGGTGAATTGTGGAACATGGTGTAAGAAAGAACTGCTCCAGGAAAGGTTTTTGGAGCTGATGTTGGAATCCTTAATATACAGTTTTGTCCAAATACAATAGCACATACAGCAAAACATCTCAGACCATTCACTTTTCTTAAGCTACTGCATTTTTTAAGTTTTCTGAAATAAAACATAGCATGGAAGAATATTCTTAAAAGAGGATATTTAGTAGTTGATAAAGTCATTTCAATGTCATTTTTAGAGCAGATTTAGAAAGAAAAATACTCGCTAGTGACATAATTATGGGTAAGGTTTCTTGAGATACAAATGAAGTTGGGACTTTTCCATTCCTTATGTGGCATTAAGCATTTTGCCTGGATACTTTTTGCACACTCTCACTACAATATTTTCCCTCAACTAATCATCTACAATGAGCCCTTTCTTAAACAGGGATTTCAGTTTGTAGACAGAGGAGGGAGGGGGGTTTACAAATGTGCTCTCTATTGGCCTCATTATGCTCCCAGCGAACACAACTGGCATTCAGTACTGACTGAGGGCACAATGTTGGCCTCAAACTGAGCACCTTCAAAAATTTCACTTGGAGTCTAAGGGCTACAAATGATGTTAAAATCACATCAGAGTATCTAACTACATTGGTTTTACTCATGGTTTTGCAAGGTAAATAACTGAAACTTAGTGAAACTTATTAGTTAAAGGAATCTACCTGGAATCCAAATATAGGTAACAGTAAGTATCTAACAAACCTTCCCCAAATGAACATTTTACTTGCAAAACTGTTTACATTTTATTAACGATCTGGTTGACACTATGGTAACTCATCTACCTTAGCATGGACAGTGACTGCTTGACAAGGTCAGTTCATATATAAAGGAAATACTAAAACAAAAACGAACAAACAATCCACTTCCCTCTTCTTTATTCAAAAAGGAAAGAAAACAACATTACTGTCTTTCACTGGTAATATTTGACTTAGGTTGTTTTCTTCTCCATCCCCTGTTCTCTGTAAGGCAATGAACTTGATTTCACACAAATAGACACAACTGTTATTAAAAAAGCAAAATAGTTTCCTCCGTTTTGTAGTACAAACCATTACTAGAAATGACAAACTATTGTTTTTTAGGTAAGCTGCATGCATGGCGTGGATGCCTGTCACAACACCAAGCCTGCCCTCATTTTTTCTCTGTTTTTCTAATTATTGAACGTGGAAATATTTGTCATGAACAGCCAGAATAATTTTTAACTTCTAATTAATATGCAAATCTCATTTGTCATATAAAGCTATATAAACAATGACTTCAGAAACCCATTTCCAATTATGCAAAGTGTGTAGAGCCCGTACTTTCAAAGTTCTCTATAGGTACAGCCCGTCCAAATCTTCACTTTGGAAAAAATCCTTCAGTTCTGCCTATTCACTTCAGTAACTATTTACATCTCATTTCTACTACTCCATTAACCTTGGAGACAGCCATTCTTTATGGCTACACATATTCACTCTATAAAATGTTTCTGTACAGTGTTATAGATCTGCATTGCGCCATACAGAAAAGCCAAAAGACACGTCACACTTCCTGGCAAGGAAGCAGGAACAAAGACTGGCTGGATTAAGACAGTGGGAAGGGCAAAAGAACAACATAAATTGATTAAGCTTTGTGTTGCTAATTACTGGCTGTGGCTTGTTATTATTGTATTTGAGCCTACCATATTTTTTGATGGCAGAAAAATCAGTAGCAATCAAAAAAGGTGTTTAGCGTGAAGAGCAATTTGCATTCCAGAAGGAAATGAAACAGCATCACTCCAACGGGTGAACAGAAAACCTGTAAGGAAGGACTCGCAGTGTATTGGGAAGCTCAGGGCAGCTGGTGGCCCACTGAATCCCTACAGCACAGGGATGCTGTGGATGGATGTTTGGAAAGTGTGTGATGGCAGTGACAATGTAAGGCGTGCCTATTCCGTACATTTACCTGTATTTAATGTGGAGCATATGAAAGCAGAAACTGTACCTTTGTGTAGCGATAACAAATGTGACTGGTTCTTAACATGGTCAAAGGGCCAATTACTTGTCTGAAAATAACAGTGACTCCCTCACTCTGGCACAGAATTGAATCATAAATAGCTGCAGTAAATTTTAAGAAATAGAGCCAAATAATTTATGTCTACTGTGGGAGATTCATGCCTACTCATGTCACTCCTGGGAATGTACTTTCCCATGTATGTTTCTGAAATGGAGAATATTAAGAAAACGCTAAATACCTCTGCAGATGCACTTGTTTGAAACAAATACAGTTTGATGGCTAGTATGAGGAATAACCAGGCAGTAGGTTTAAAGCAGAATGTTTGGAAATGGTGGCTGCTGCTTTCATGTGCCATCCAGGGAAGTGGTCGTGAGTACGTTCGAGGAGTCAGGGAGAGATCTCTCTGAAGAGCAGTGTTTTAAGATGCAGGTTTAGACAAATGGTCCCACTGCAACTAGGAAGTGATAGGGAATCTTTTCTTTGGTGTGCATCCTCTGCACTGTTAGTGGGGAACAAAAAAATGGAAGAAACCACAAAGAAGGTTTTCTCAGCCTCACCTAGCACAAGAAAGTTAAAGGGTGGCCATGCAGGGAACTACACATCCAGGACCCTCTGCTAACCTGTTGGGCAGGACCAAAAATGCTAGAGTCAGGTTAGGAAAGCAGGAAGAAGCAGGGAGAGAGAACTGAAAGGGTAGAAAATGTGCTCACACCAGACTCTGGTGCAAAGGGAGATTTCCTGAGAATTTCTGTCCTACTGCTTTGCCGTAGGCACAATAGCAGCCTGAGAATGTCAGGGAAAACAAATCTGGGAGCCAGCTGCTTTGCTAAACATAAGTGATGTAATGGGTTATGATTCAATCACAAAACTAAATGGGGAGGAGGCTAAGGAGACCGAAATAGGACTGCTAGTGATGTCTGCCCACTTCTGGCAAAGAAGCAAGAGAATCCAGAATATTGGAGAAGTGGGCATAGTGCTGTCACCCTGGATCTTGGCCATGAGAGGCAGTAATTTGCTGTGGCCCACGATAAACCTGATGAAGGCAGCCAAAATTGTAACCTTTTAATCTGACCTGAAGTCAGAGAAAGATGGATTGACTAGACTAAAAGAAAGATTCCTGTAATAACTCCTCAAGGCTGAGTGTAACACAGGACGCTAATGAAGGAGGACATCTGCAATATTGAGTATTGCTCTGTAGGAACAGACTGAGTCTCTGCGAGCATTTTTGACAAAAAAGGGTCACTACAAACAAGAAGTTAAATTTCTGGTCATGGAAAGAATGTAAGCATTCCTTTCTCCCATCTCCAAAGCACATGAGCTACCTGTAAAAGACTTATAGAAAGTAAAATTTTATAGTATGTTTAATGTGGTTACGTACATTTTTATTCCCTTTTTTTTTTTAAAAAAAATGTTAAAACTGTGGTGCATGAAAAGGAAAAATAACACCCCCGGCTATTCCGAGCTACCTTTCCCACCCAAAGCTGTAGTCCGGGGCAGGCTTACCTTCCAAGATAGAATCAGAGGAATCCCCAAACTCTCCTCCAGCACCTAGAACATATACGTGTTCTTACTTACCCTGATATACTGTATCTGTAGCAACATTTACCACTGAAAGATGGCTGCCAGTGGTCCTTACATTAAATAGTTTTGTTTTTTTCTTCCCTAACCCAAGTGGTATAAACTGAAAATCTGAAAGTAACAGATTTACTGCTCGCAGGATTAACTTACAAAGAAAATTGCACGAGACTTGAGCCACATGAGGGAACTACGACAGGCTTTTCTTCTAAGTGACAAGATAGCCAGCTCTAGCGTGCTTTCCATGCATTTCTATCCAGAGAAGTTCCCTGGAATGTGCTCCAGAACAAGCACAGCTGCAGGGTGGTGGTATTACTCCTAACTATGTGAAACAGGTACAAAAACGAAGGTTAAAACTTCTCTGCCCAAAATCAAGCATCAGTCTAAACAGAAGACACTTACAGCTCGGACTGGCTGGGAACATTAATCACTCAGAGACGTGTTCTGATCGACCATTTATTTTTTCATGTCACAGGTGGGTTTGCTTCCCAGTATTACTGCCACCAAAGAAAACGACTGTGGGTGAGGGGCCACGTTTGTAAGTACTGCATTTGTGCAGAACAACATGGTGACAGAGCACAAAAGAACAGAAAAGGAGGGCAGTGATGCATACCTTTTCCTGGTTCGCTCACTTCTGTAAGACTGGCCTGTTCTTGTTCTTGGAATAATGTGTAATCCTATTAACTGTGAGGTTATTCAATTCAGAAATGAAGCACAAGAAGCCAGCTTATTGTATAATGCATAAATTATGTTCCTATAGCTTTAACATCCCAATGCTATCTTACTTGGCTTGTAAGTGACCAAGAAAATGAAATTATTTTCATTCTAATTCTCATTTGTCTATAAATAAGTATCAAGGATAATGCTACAAAACAAAATTAAAGCTAATTCTTTATTATTTAAAAACTACTTACTACCTTTCCTAGTTTCCATGGGCAATGCCTTTACAGAGTGGGCAAAAGTAAAAGTTAACAGGTTTTACTGGAACAGGCATG